TCTCCCTCTCCCACTCCCCCTGCTTGTGTTCCTGCTCTCGCTATCTCTCTCTCTGTCAAATAAATAAATAAAATCTTTAAAAACAAAAACAGAAAGTGTTTGTTTTGTACTTGCTTGACTGCTTCTCCTCAAAGCCAATCAAGTCCACAGATATTTAACTACAAGTTTGAGAAAGTAAATTTTAATGTTTAAAATTAATGTCTTCTAAAAGCTAGATTAAGAATGCTATAAACCAATGTTATAAATTTTCCCAAAGTAGTAGTACAAGAAATCTGTCTTTCAGGATACTTTATTACCTCAGCTCCATCAACTTTCGGTGGTTTTGCTTGGACTTTGTTTTCTCGGGAAGTGTCTGATTCAGACTCTGACTGACTGCCCGATTCAGATCCAGATTCAGAGTCACTGCTACCTGACTGGCTACTGCTTCCATCACTACTGCTTCCAGAACTTGAACCAGATCCTGAGCCTGAAGCTGACCCAGAATCATCATCCGACTGGCTACAATTTGAAAATAAACAGATTTCAAACAAAATTTATTAGGAATTTAATTTTTCTTAAAAGTCAGCAGAAATCCCCAGATCATTAAGCCTTGTTTATTTCACATTTCAACATTCCATAGCCAAACAAATAGAAAAAAGAATTAATGTTAATCTATAACAAATGACTTACTTGATAGATTTAGTACAGTTTTGGTGAAAACATAAGCAATCAGATCACAATCTTCCTCCAAGATAAGAAGCAAAATCTATCAAACGCAGAATCCTGGGCTAGAAACTTGGGAAAACAAGACACTGAAGCCATAGTCGCTATCTTAAAAGGCTATTTAACTATAGGAAATCTAATGTAGAAATTGTGTGAAGAAAAGGATTAATGTGCTGAAAATTCCCAGTCATACGTAGAAAAAAAATTGTAGTTTTTACTTGTCTTTAAATTATATCTGTGTTCTACCATTCTGGGGAAAAGTGATTTATTAAAATTAAGCTATGAAAAGGGGTGCCTGGGTGGCTCAGTTGGTTAAGCGTTTGCCTTTAGCTCAGGTCATGATCCCGGGGTCCTAGGGACTGAGCCCACACAATTTACTAATAGCTTTGCTGAGAGTATCACTGAATCTATCACGGTTCCACAGTAATAAATCTGAAATAATAGTAAATTGTCACAATCCTTCCTAACCTCTGTATATCACATGTGAAAGCAATTACCAGTTCATTGAGAAACCACCTTTTTTCCCATTACTAATTTTCAGTCCAAAGTAGCCTAGAAATGGTCTGGCCTAAACAGGTGATTATGTAAATTACTATTATTCCCAAGGTCATTTGTTCACATAGTGTTTACATCTGAATTGTTGAAAACTGGGGCATTAAATTCTTTATACACACATTTGACTCAGCTTTTGATGTAATTTCACTTAGCTTTCTGACAAACAGCAGTTAATGCAGTTTACGCACACACAGCTAAACTCAAGCTTCATGTCCTCTGCTGTAATTTTCAGAAATACCACCAGATGGAGGTATTACTCTAAGGAAATAGACTGCACTATTAAAAGTAATTCATTTATAAAATTTTTCCTTTTCTAGAGCGAGTTTAGTATTCACAAGGAAACACAGACATAAAAGTTTGAAAGAAGACTTCTGATTCCAAAAGTTAGATATAAATTAAAATGCTTAAAATGCAAACATGTATATTTTTAAAGTCGAGTAGAATATTCACAGAAACAGCAAAAATTTGCCTTTTAAAGTCTATGATACCAAGATCACTTTTCTAAAAGATTTATTTATTTTAGAGAGAGAGAGAGAAAAAGACCATGTGCATGCAAGTGACAGGAGGAACAGAGGAAAAGGGAAAGAAAATCCTTAAGCAGACTCCCTGCTGAACGTGGAGCCCAACTGGGGGCTCAATCTCTTGCCCCTGAGATCATGACCTGAGCCAAAATCAAAAGTCAAAAGCCAAATGAGCCACCCAGGCACCCCTCAATCACCTCTGCCGCAATTTTTAACTGTTGGTCACATGGTTCAGAGATCCAAAAACAGCACAGTGCCTCGTAATAAACAAACCCCACTTAACCATATTTCACTTCGGTCCCTTCAGAGAAATTTCAGCAAGAATATTAAGAGAAGATATTTTTCCTGACATACAATTTTATTTCTTTTTTTTTTTAAAGATTTTATTTATTTGAGACAGAATGAGAGAGAGAGAGAGAGCACATGAGAGGGGGGAGGGTCAGAGGGAGAAGCAGACCCCCTGCCGAGCAGGGAGCGTGATGTGGGACTCGATCCCAGTTCTCCAGGATCATGACCTGAGCCGAAGGCAGTCGCTTAACCAACTGAGCCACCCAGGCACCCAATTTTATTTCTCCTTTAATCCACTTTCATTTACTCAATAAACTTCACTGACAGTATTGTGTATTAGGCACTGGGCAAGACCAAGAGCATACAAAATCCTTACCATTAAAAAACCTCTAACCTGGGGCGCCTGGGTGGCTCAAACGGTTAAGCGTCTGCCTTGGGCGCGGGTCATGATCCCGGAGTCCTGGGATCGAGCCCCACATTGGGCTCCCTGCTGAGCGGGGAGCCTGCTTCTCCCTCTCCCTCTGCCTGCCACTCCCCCTGCTTGTACTCTCTCTAATAAAAAATAAAAAAATCTTTAAAAAAAAAAAACAAAACCTCTAACCCGGTATGGAGAGATAGTCATGTCAACCAATAAATGTTGTTCTGCGCTATTTTTAAGATAACTGATCTAGGTGAATGGGGAGCACTGCATATACAACCAAGAAAAAAGTGCGACTGATAGAAAAGGAAAATTGCTTGTAAGCTTCTTGAGGATATCATTTATTTTTTTCCAGAGTACCTAAACACAGAACTTTACACAGGTGAGGATGCTTAACAGATACTCGAAAAATAGGTATATAAGAACGACTGAATTTGGGGGGCTATCATACCCCTGTATTCTTGATTATGTCTTGATTAGTCATTCCAGATGAATGGCTAGTCAAAAGTCTTTAATAAATCAAAACTCTAAGGGAAAGGAGGAATCTTTCCCTTCATATTCTTTAGGTTGTAGTAGTTCCGGCTGGAGATTAAAGCAAACAGTCTGAATCTAGATTACTCTAATGGCACAGACCTATTATAGAATGTCTTTACCTTATGTATTGGAAGTATAAAGTATTTTATTTAGTTGTTCTTAGTAAGATTAAGAATATACAAGATTAAATAAGAAATATTTTACATACTGCCACAGAACAATCTCCAGAATATAGTTAAGTAAAAAACAAAACAAAACAAAAAAAACAAGATACAAGACAATCTTTATAGTATGCCTCTTTTGTATAAGGGAAAAATATACATAACTTGCCTATATTTTAAAAATAGCAATAATGGCAGCATAAACCAACAATTAATTTAAAAAATGGTTATCTACAGAAGGAGGGATAGAGGGAAGAGTAGAGGGAACAAGGTTTGAAATGAGTCCTCAGATTCAAAACATGTAAATATTTTACATAATTTTTTAAAAAAAGAAAATCCTAAAAATTTTAGGAAAAACACACAGGTTCAGGAAAAAAAAAATCTATATTCAGACATAAAATTTTGAGCTAAAATTGTTGAAAAACCTCCCTATTAATTCAGCCCACTGCTGTAAATGCTCTTTCCAGAATAGAAATCTGGGCATGGTCTAACTTTCTTTTATAAGTCTTCAGTGTTTCTATAACAAAGTGCAAACACCTATGAGGGCATTCAGGAATTTGTCTTTGCCAGCCTATTTCCAGCCAGTTTCCCACTTAAATCCTTAGTTTTAGCAATGGCAAACTACTTAGAATTCTGAGAGCCAGTTTCTCTTTCCACTTCCTGCTTTTGCTTAAGTACTTCTCTTTTTTTCCCCCACTATGTAATTCCTACTTGAGCCTCATCTCAGAGGCATTTCTCCAAAACTCTCTCCTAACTCCATTATTCTCAATCCAACCTTAAATTAGGTATCCTTCCTCAGCACTTCCAAAACACTATTACATACCACTATCTTGGCTGTGAGTACACTATGTAATGAACACTGTAGTATTGTTTTCTTTGGTGTTTTTGGTATCCTACCTTTCATATTCTACTATATGTTTCTAGAGTGTTGGGATTTTTACTTGTCCTTTGTATAATGAACACCAAATGAAGAGCATCTTTGATGGGTGGATGGATGTACATATAAACAAACAAAGATATATATGGCTTCAAATTCTTGTATAAAATTCACAAATATAATCTGCCTACAAGAAATATTGCTGAGCTCCAACTAACATTTTATTTATTTAGGTAAAAACCAATAACAATGATCTTCTATACAACAAAGTTACTTAAGAGATTACTTAAGAGTTACCCTTATTAATTATATTAAATCCCACTAGCACATTAACAATAAAGAAACACTGTATTCTTTTCCTTACCTTTCTCAATTTACAAAACAAAACCCACCATAAGTTGATGGGCACTTTGATAAAATTAAATTGTTTTCTGAGGGTAAATTAAATATGAATACATTTAAAAAATAAAATAGCAATTCAAATTAAAGTCTCTTTTCAGGCTTGTTTTTATATTCAACTTCAAATATAAACAAAAGAGCAATATAATGAATTACCATATATCTAAAAACCCACCTTATAATTATCAACTCTTACCAATCTTGTTTCAACTAATCCAGCTTCCCAAACACACACAATCTCAGACATTTTAAAATTTTATCCATAAATACTTAAGTACTACAAATAAAAAGAAACCAACACTATTTTTAAATACCACAATACCAGTATCATATCTTTAAAATACCACTTACTCCTGAATTTTAATATGAAATTAAACATTAAGTCACACGATTTCGTTTCCTGGACTGACTGAATAGGAATCCAAACAAGGTTCACATACTGCCCTTGAATTGTATTTTTTTAAGTCTCTTTCATCTTATTTATTTAAATTCCAGTTACTTAACATACAGCATGATATTAGTTTCAAGTGTACAATATAGAGATTCAACACTTCCAAACATCACCAGGTACTCATCACAACAAGTGCAACTCCTTAATCCCCATCAGCTATTTAACCGATCCCCACACCCACCCCACTTATGGTAACCATCAGTTTGTTCTGTTAAAATTCTGTTTCTTGGTTTGCCTTTTATCCTTTGCTCATTTATTTCCTTAAATTCCACATATGAGTGAAATCATATGGTATTTGTTTTTCTCTAAGTCTCCTTCATTAATTTGACAGTTCCCTTTTCCTCTTTGTTTTCTCCTGCAATTTATTTTGTGGAAGAAATTAGGTAGTTTTTTCTGCTTTTTCAGATTTCACTTACTGTAACCCTGTGGTATTAACATATTTTTCTGGCCCTTATAGTTCTTGTAAATTCTTGGATCAAGAGACTCAGATTAAAATTCAGCTTTTCTTAGCAAGACTATTTTTTCAGTTGTTGTGGACTTCTATCAGAAGAAACTTAAGTTTGGTTGTCTCTTTTTGAGTGAGGTTAAGGTT